GACAAATTGATGTTTTAAAAGATAAAAAGTTATTTTAATCAATATATAAAATTTTCTCTTAACAAAATTTCTTTTTTATTTAGAAAACATTATCCAATGCCATGGAATTTTCTTCAAAAAGATTTTAATCGTCGTCTTTTTAATTTATTTCAAAATTTAATTAAACTTCGTCGTTCAAATAAAGATCTACAAGAAGGACCAATTAATTTCTTTTTTGAAGATGAAAATAATCGAATACTTGCTTATTCTCGTGGTTTAAATTTAATTATTATCACAAATTTTGATCAAAAACCTAAATTGAAATATATTATTTCAAATCTTCCTCAACAAGGAAAATGGATTGATTATCTTACTAATGAACAAGTTGATGTTGATCAAGTTAATAATTTAACATTGACCTTATTACCATTTCAATCAAGATTATTTATTAAACATATTTAATAAGCACTTTTTCTTTCGTTTTTGTAAAATAAATAAACAGTTGACTAAAACTACACTCTTTATTAAAAAATTGTATAAAAATGAGATGGAGACATATTTTTCATTTATTTTTTAATGATATTATAGAAGTTTAATAATAACATTTTCATCTCGATGTTGTAATAATAATTCTCCTTTAAATGTTAAATAATGATATTTTCTTGCTCGAAGTAATGTTCCAACTAGTTTACTTGAAATATCAACATAAATCTAAAATAAGAAATAGAATTATATATATTCATTTATTTATTTTTTCGATATACATTAAATAATTGTCCAAATGTTATTTCCATTGTTCCGTCAATCGTATTCTTTTTTCCACATTGTCGAATAACATTACATAAATATTTCACTTCTTCGATAGCATCATTAACATCATGATCAAAATTATGATGACGTACTTTTCGTCCACCAGTAGCTGGCCGAGCATATCTAATATTCGTCTTATTTCTTTCTATCAATTAAATAAAAACTTTTACGTACAATGAATCTTCATTAGTAATAGACCATTCAATTGCTGGTTTGGATAACGCTTCAGCTTTCTCAAGAAATTGTGCAGCTCGATCTGGTACTCCACCTTGAGATGCACCGAACAGATGTTTTTGTACTGGAGAGGATTTTTTCATCGTCGTTGTCTTTTCTCTTTCTTCTGATGTTGATTTCCAATGTAAATGAGGAAGTATATTTCTTATACAAAGATATATATATACACATAAACATATGCTAGTTGCGTTCTTCACGTGGTCGGTACACGTGTGTTACATAGAGTATTAGCGACATTTTTCATTCATTGTTAATGTTTGTTTTGAGGGCATCAGATATGTCACTAAGAAGTGGACACGAGAAAAAAAGAAGAGAAGAAAAACAACTTATTTATTTTTATCATTTTATCAATTCGTTATTTGAAGGATTATTTCGAAGCTCAAAAAGATGTAGATGTGAATATGAACGTCGATACTATTGCATTTTTTTAATAGTTTATCAATATGAAAATTTAAGATAATTTTAACTCTGTATATATTTATTTTGATTAATTATATTGGTAATTTCGAGGTTCTACACCAGTAGAAATCGATAAAAGAGTGACTAAACTAAGAATTATAAATGTATTATATAGACAATATTAAAAGATTTTTTTGGTTAAATAAAAAAAAACGAAAGTCTTTTATACTCTATACATTTATCGATTATATTCAATGATGTTGATTAGTACCATGACTAGATGATCCACTTCCAGCTTGACCATGAGAACCAGTAGTACCTGAACTTCCTCCATGACCAGATGATCCACCAACAGTTTGTCCTTGAGATCCGCTATTGGTATTATCTAGAAGAATGGAAATATGAGAAAGATGTATCTTTGTAACAAAAGTATATTTGATCTGAGTTATTTAAAAGAAAATGTCTTTATTCATACTTGTATCATTGGGTCCTCCATGTTCTTGAGTATTAGATTCTCCTATATTCTTCGATTGTCCTGTAGTTCCAGCTCCTCCAGTTGAACTTTCTGTAGATGAAGAACTTGCATGTTGAGTTGTGCCATGAGCAGAACTTTTTTGATTATTAGATGAAGACATTTTTAATAGGTAACTGAGATAAGTAAAATGTAATATATGTTCGAAAGAGTGAGAAATGTTCCTTTATATAGTATTGAAAAGACGAGCCTGTTAAACATGATTGTAGTAATGAGAAACGTTGTTTACACTTATTGGAGTGAAAGGGAAAAAGAACATAATACATCGACGAAATTTGTCGGTTATGTTTCATTTGTAGATACTATTATTAAGTACGATTTGTTCTTCTAAATAATATCTTTTTTTGAGTAAATATTCGATACATTGATCAAATTTCGAATGATGTTCAATGAATGTTTTCAATTAAATTTGTCAATTGAAAAGAAAATATTTATATCGATTTTGATTCTTTAAAAATAAAAATAATTAAAAGACAATTGCGTCTTTCTTTTTGTACTTAAAAGTATTATATTTCTCTGATAAGAATATTAAAAGAAGAACATTGAAAATATATTTCTCGAAAGAAAAATTGATCTATTTGTATTATTTTAAGAATAAGATATATTTCATTCGAAATCCAACTCTCTTCATTGAAATAAAACTGCAAATATAATCTGTGCTTGAATAGAATAAAATAAAATATGAAAATGAAATAAATGTCTGGAATTGTTTAAACTTGATTATTTGTTTTCTTTCTCCTAGAGAAGAGTCCAGTAAACACAAATTGTTTGCTTGATTGATTGCTTGCTTGTGTGTCCGCAGGGTAAAAAAAACATCGAAAATCAATTTTTCACGATTTTCATTTGTTTTTTTCAGTAAATTCATATAGTGATAACGATTTTCTTATAAAGTTCTAATTTATTGCATTCTCTTCTTGAACGATAATATAATTGATAATACCTAGTTTATTTTATCTATCAACAAATATTTGGTAATTTTGTAATATATCATTATTTTCTTTATTAAAGATTCAACATAAGAAGAGCAGTCTATCTTTATTTTACTTTGAAAAAGTAAAGTAAACTTATCATATTTTCAATATTGAAAATAAAGTAAGATCAAGGCAATCAAATCATATATTGTATAAATTCATAAAAGAAAATACACACTTCAGTGTTACCTATTTTTTATATTAATTGTAGGACAGAACAATATTCAAAAAGCTTTAAAAGCTTTTAAAATTATTTAATCAGGACCCTGAACTAAAAATATTTCAAAAATCGAATAAGTAGTATTTCAATTTTTATCACTTAACTTTACTATACCCAATAAAGCGAAGATAAAGTATTATCTCTGGCTCACTATTGAAAGGATACGGGTAAGTTTATAATAAAAGTTACATGCACGCACATACCCACACTCATATTCTGTATTTTTAAGTACCAAAACAAGATTGAAAGATTTATTTGTTTCTGTTTTCTATCATACATCAAACAGTAAAGCTGTCATTTATCATTTATTTCTTTAACTCTTTTTTCTCTCAAATCATAATAACTATATGGTCAATATTTCCATCTTGATATTACTTTGCATAAGTTATTCCAAGTAGTATTTAAAAAAATTTATGAAAACAGAAATAAGTCATGCGCCAGTATTGTTTTGTCAGTGTGGGTGTGTCTGAAATATAATATTCAAATCCACACCCACTGATCACTTACACCGTTTTATACGAAGAATCAAGAAACTCATTAATTTAATAGAATAAGGAAATGTGCTTTTATTCAAGTATATAAATAGGTTTTAATAAAATTCTGAAGCAACTATTACAATATTACTGAATTAGAGCCCTGCAGGTTACGCCAGTAGCAGGGCAGGGCAGAGGAAAGTAATGAAAATGTTGATAGGGCAGGTTGCAGGGTACAAAGATCGTAACCTGTCAATCTGCGACAAATTTTGCACAATAAATACTATTGACATCTTTTATAAAATTATACAAAATATTAAATCCAAATGTTGTAGACGATATGTTAATGATTTGAAATTTTCGAGATATGTGATATTGTTTTTGTTTATTTGTTTACTTTATAATTTGAAATAGCCTGAATAAAATTGTACAACAAATTGATATGAAACTTGAAGATTTTTTTATAATGTGAAACAGAGAAGGATAGTGTAACGGAAAATCAGTAAAGTATATAAATAATGAATAAATATCTTTTATTGAATAAATAAAAAGCAGAATATAATAACAAGTAATAACACAAATGCTTCTGATTCCTTCTTTAATGATCTTATGGTTCAGACTCTATTCCGTCTTCGAGTCTTCCAATACAATTCAGGCTAATTCTTTAATCATTACGTTGAGTCCAACCTTCAGCTCCAGTGTATGTGTTAAGACTGACTATATCTAATACAGAAAGCAAGAGTAAAAGAAATAGAACAAGCGAAAGATACAGAATACAAGAAAGATAAATGTGATAAAGCAAGGGGGGTTATTGGAAAGAATGTTCATCTATGTACTTGGCACAGATAGGTTAAAGATTACGAAAATCTTTATAGGACAGGACAGGGCAGGTTGCAGGTTGTCAAAATCTTAGAAAGGCAGACTACAAGTTGTCAAAGTGTCTGGCCCAACAGGCCTCTGTACTGAATATGTAGTGTTCATTTTCAAGATCAGCCACAATTTGATAAGAAAACACCTATATTGCCTGCATTATAGTTTCCGGCAATGATGTCGAGGTTGCCATCCGCATTGACGTCGGCTACGCTCACAGAATAGGGTTCCGAACCAGCGCCAGTTGAATAAGTCACTTGAGCAGCAAACGTACCATTACCCATGTTGAGGAGAACACCGAAATTATTTGCCCAATAGTTCGCAACAACAATGTCAGCATAGCTGTCACCATTAATATCACCTGTGGTTACATAATACGGATAAGAGTCAGGGCCAGTTGAATAGGTGACTTGAGCAACGAACGTGCCGTTACCTGTGTTTAGGAGAACACCGACGTTGAATGTATTGTAGTTTCCGACAATAATATCGAGTTTGCTGTCTCCATTGGCATCAACGACAACGACAGCGTTCGGTCCAGAACCATTGCCGGTTGAATAAGTGACTTGTGCACCAAACGTGCCATTGCCTTTGTTGAAGAGGACACCGACGTTGTTTGAACCGGCGTTTGTGACAATAATATCGAGTTTGCCGTCTCCATTGAGATCACCTGTTTTTACAGGCCACGGACCAGTACCAACTGGATATGTTACTTGAGCACCAAACGTACCAGAACCTGTATTGAGAAAAACAGCGATTTCGTTTAAAGCGCTGTATGTGGCAATAATATCGGATTTGTTATCTCCATTGACATCAACTGCTATCAAAGAATGCAGCTGAGAACCAGTGCTGATTGAATAAGTGACTTCAGTACGAAACGTACCATTGCCTGCGTTAAGGAGAACACCGATATTGTATGAAGCGGCGTTTCCAACGATAATGTCGAGTTTGCTGTCCCCATTGACATCGGCTATTGCTAGCCCCCACGTATCATGAGTAGTACCAGTTGGATAGATCACTTGTGCAAGAAACGTGCCATTGCCTGCGTTGAGAAGGACACTGACTCCGCCTGTTCCGTAATTTATGACAATAATGTCCGGCTTGCCGTCTCCATTGACATCCGCTGTTGTCAAAGGATACGGTCCAGAGCCAACACCAGTTGAATATGTTACTTGTGTCGGAAATCTATTGATGCATGGAGCTATAACGAAAAAACAATTGTTATTAGCTTCTGTCTAATTAGGAAGAATAACTATATCAGAGCTTTTTATTGCTTGTGATAAATTTCTTTCTGCCATCACCGGCGTAAAGCGAATGGCGACGGTGATACCGTAGGCCATGGAAAATTTTCATTTTTTACTACAAAACTAAAGACTTTTTCTCTCTTCCAATACAGCTTCCACTATGGGACCTCTCATCTGAGTACGAAGATGCACTCTTGAACCTAGACTACTTCCCAGTAGCTTTGTTCCAAAGCAAGATAGTCTTGAGGGTGGGTGTGGGTGCTGGTGAGAGTGTCTTCTTCTTCTATATAACCACATCTAGCTTGCGTATATTTATACTTAATTTTTCTTTCTTATCAAAAATTCTAACAGGAACCACCGGAGAACAGAGGTCGGGGAAGCGACTGCCAGGAAGAGAACTAGAGATCTGCGGGACAGTCCCGAATCCCGAAAGTGCTGTCCTGTGGGACAATCGGGACGGGACAGACGGGACGGTACAGTATAGAAAAAATAGAAATCCCGAAATTCTTTTTGATCCGTATACTAAAATATGCCTGAGACTTGAACGTTTTTCTATTTGTTATTAGAACGATTGAAGGAAATGTTGGTTTATCCAACAATCATATGAATACATGTATTTTAGCTTATTGATGTTACAACGAAGATGTTTTTGCGTTTCTGTCACAGAGTAACATCTGTATATTTTTTGGTCATCAGGGCCGACGGGATTTGACGGGACAATTCGAAAAATTCGGAACGGGACGATCGGGTATATTTGAAAAAGCTTTGGGACGAAACACTGGGATCAGGACAATAAAAAAGTTTGTCCCTCAGATCTCTAAAGAGAACCTATCGTGGATTCATCCAAAACGTTTACGGATAAAACACGTTCTCTTTAGTTATGCATCTAGGTTAGGAAGATCCACTAGGGAAAACTGAAACTTCAAAATTAAGTCATTCGAACAAATAATTGATTAAACACCTATATAAGGCACTGCAAATCATCTAACATAATACTGACTAGTGGTTGTTGATGCAGTTGTCGATGTTGTTGTTGTTGACGTTGTTGATGCTGTTGTTGATGTTGTTGACGTTGTTGTTGGTGATGTTGTTGATGCTGTTGTCGATGTTGACGTTGTTGATGCAGTTGTTGATGCTGTTGTCGACGTTGTTGTTGGTGATGTTGTTGATGCAGTTGTTGATGCTGTTGTCGATGTTGATGATGTTGACGCGATCGATTCTGCTTTGAAATTATAGAATTAAAATGAGATAAGAAGTATTGGATAAGATATAACTCAGAATTCAATATTTCTCGATCTATTAACAATGTATCTGGTTTTGATGGCATTATGCCAACGTTTAATGGACTCAATTAGATTCTTCTGTCTTTCTTCTTTTAATCATATTTATATTACAATAATTCAAACGAATAAACTTACACGTAGTGCGACTTTTGCAATGAGGTTTTTTCAAATCCTGTGCGTAGAGTTATATGATATTTCTTTATCAAAATTTGAGTCCAAAATATAGTTTTTACAAATACAGAACTTCGAAAAGAGCCTGTTCAAATCTGTATGATGGGGGCGGGGTGTGTATGACGAAAGAAAGAATATGATATGTGCATCCTTATCTACATCCTCAACACCACGGTTTTTTCCGAAAACTTTTCTGGGGATATTCTAATAGTTGAGATGTCACTGATTTTGTTGTATTCTTAATATTACAATATCAACTGAATTATGATAAAATAGGATATATTTATGGAGCAGTGCTTGAATTACCAGTATAGATAGAAAGAAAATTTTCTCGAGGTCTCTACAAATTATTGTAGTGCCGACGCTACTACTTTTGGTATGAGCTAAATAGATGTTTAATTACCCGTTGTTGTATTTTGTG